CACAACTCTTTTATAATCTTTATATATATATATATAGTATATAAATACATTAAAATTATAATAAATATTAATAAGTTGACTTGTTCATATATTTTTTTATTGATTTATATAATAATATTTTGATTTTTATAAGAAAATTAGTAAAAAAATATGAAAATTAATTTTTATTAATTCTGTACTTGCTCTTTACATATTTTGATACTTTTATATTATACTACTAAATTTTCTTTATATAGCAAAAAAAATTAAAAAATTATTACTTAGTAAGAATTTGAACTTTCATTAGAAGAGATATATTTAATTATTGTCGGAACGGCTTTTTGATAGATTAAAGTTAAATGTTTTTCCATGCCAAGCTTTTACATAGTTGTTATTTATATAACCTATCTTCCCACACTAAAAATGCCAAGACTTCTCACGCTAGGTGCATTCAGACTAACCAAAAAAGGAAATTTTTGCGAAAAAAGCAATTTTTTGTCATTTTTTCCCACAAATTCAATGGTATTGTTTACGTAGATCATTTATGCAAGATTATGCATGATTATGCACGTTATATAACAAGTATAGCCAAAAGTTACCAATTTTTTTCAGCAATGCAATTGTATTGTTTACATTACGCGAATATGCATAATGACGTATGTCACACAAACTTTATTTTTTATATTTTTATATATGTTTAAATTCTCTTATATGTGCCTATATATAATTATGCAATATTATGCAAGATTATGTAAGCTGATAATAACTAATTGATACTATATATAAACTAATTATAGCTGATCTCATATATATATAAGCTATTGATAGTTGATCTAGGATAAATATAAACTGTTGACCACTGATCTGGCATATATATAAGTTGTTGATTGCCGATCTAGTATATATATAAGCTGTTGACTACCGATCTGGCATATATATAAGCTGTTGATTGCCGATCTGGCATATATATAAGCTGTTGACTACCGATCTGGCATATATATAAGTTGTTGATTGCCGATCTGACATATATATAAGCTATTGATTGCCAATCTGGCATATATATAAGCTGTTGACTGTCAATCTGACATATATATAAGCTGTTAACTGCTAATCTAGCATATATATAAGTAGATGATAGCCGGTCTGATATATATATAAGTAGATGATAGCCAGTCTGATATATATATAAGTGGATGACAGCCGGTCTGCTATATATATATAAGCTGATTATAGCTGATCTACTATATATATAAATGGATGACAGCTGATCTGCTATATATATAAGTAGATGACAGCTGATCTGCTATATATATAAGTGGATGACAGCCGGTCTGATATATATATAAGTGGATGACAGCTGATCTGCTATATATATATAAGCTGATTATAGCTGATCTGCTATATATATAAATGGATGACAGCTGATCTGCTATATATATAAGTGGATGACAGCTGATCTGCTATATATATAAATGGATGACGGCTGATCTGCTATATATATAAGTGGATGACAGCCGGTCTCACTGGAAAAATAAAAAAAATACTATAGCTTTAAGTAACGAGAAAGGTAGTGGAAATGTCAGGGTTTTTTTTCAGCTCAGCCGTTTTTTTTATTTAAGTTGGGGGTGTATTTTCGACGTATTCTATTGGTTTAGATAGACAATAAAAAATTCATATTTTTTTGGCTTGCTATAAAATCACATCAAATAAAGTATTTGTAGTACTTGTTTCCTTTTTTATTTTATAATTCAAGCTATACACAATATGTTTCCCTCTACCCAAATCCACACCTTAGACTGTCACTGCATTAAATGTCACAACAGTCATCAGAAATCTTCTTATGCTGCAAAGCGTACTGAGACTCGTCGTAATAAGAGAGCTAGAGTTGAAGGTACCAGAATATTTGAGAATAGTATAATATATTTAGTGTTGGTTTTTTGTTTGCTGCGTAATAATCGTTTTAATTTTTTATTTTTTATTTTTTATTTATGTTGTTTATTTTTAAACTTTTAATGAAACACAGCCGCAATGAGAAACATGGATGTAGATACTGAGGGTAAGAATTTTTTTATTTGAAAGCAGAAAAAAAAACTAATAAACTATTATATTCCATATTTGTAGTGATCCCGACCTCTCGTTCCGATTCTGTGGAAGCAATGGACGGTCAGGCCAACTCACCTTTTTTGGATGCCGCCTCAATGTTTGACAATGACAGAGACGACAATGATTTCGATGACAATGTTGAAGATGAAGTCAATGAGATCGAGATCGAGGACTTCAACAGTGAAGGTCAGTGTGAGATACATAAAGAAAACTAAAAGAAAAAGAGAGTAAAAGAAAAATCAAGTGTTAATTTTTTTTTAATTTTTTACAGACCCTTTTGCTGCTCCTGATATGCCCAAAAATGAAGTCCATCAATTCATAGCCATCTTTACGGTACTGTTTGCTTCACGTCATGTTGTTGATAAGGGTGCTGCTGTCTTGATTGAGTTTATCAACAACCTGCTGAGAATCTACGACCAAGATTTTCAATTACCAACCAGTCTTGCCGGTTTACAAAAAATGACAGGATTTTCTGCTATTACAAAAGGCATCAAGAAATTTGTGGTGTGCCAAGACTGTCATACAGTATATCAGGATATCGTATCTGCTCCTCCTCGATGTGTTTCCTCAAAACTTGGTGCCAGGTCTGCATGCAACTGTAATTTGACGAAATCCATATCTTCCGGTGCCTTGGTTGCAAAGCGTGAATATGTCTACCAATCCATTAAAAATACATTGAGCGTTTTCTTCCGTCGCCCTAGTTTCGAAGCCAAGATTCGTCAATGGAATAAGGAGTTGAAGATGGTAGATACTCTGTGCGATGTCTATGATGGTGCGATGTGGAAGGAGTTGAAGGACAAGGATGGTGTATCATTTGTGTTGGACCCACGCTCACTAATGTTAACACTTAACATCGACTGGTTCCAGCCCTTTGATGGTGTCACTCACTCCTCTGGTGCTATCTATCTGGCCATCAACAACTTGCCCCGTGATGAAAGATTCAAGCCAGAGAATATTATCCTTGTAGGTCTCATGCCTGGTCCAAAGGAGCCAAAAACCGACGAGATCAATAGTTACTTGGAGCCCTTGGTGGATGATTTGAAGCAGCTGTACGTTGGCATGTGGATTCCTACACACGAATTCCCAAATGGTGTCAGTGTTCGTGCTGCACTACTGATGGTTGCATGTGATATCCCAGCCGCCAGAAAGACAAGTGGATTCACAGCGCATAACAGCACATGTGCTTGTTACAGGTGCAGCCGGCAGTTTACTCGGTTAGGGAGCAGCAACCAGGTTGATTTCCGTGGATTCAATTATTCTCGTTGGAATATCCGCAGTGGTGCAGAGAGCAGGTTGCATGCTGAGGAGTGGAAGGATGCAAGTACACTCTCAGAAAGGCATCAGCTGGAGGTCGAAAATGGTGTTCGATGGTCACAGTTGCAACGCCTTGGATACTTTGATCTAGTACGTGGAACGATCATTGATCCCATGCATAATCTTTTCCTGGGGACGTCTAAGAGATTAATGGATCGGTGGATTGATGAGAAGACAATTGGACCTGAAGAGTTTGCTTCGATGGAGAAAATTGCAGAGACAATGGTACTGCCCAGAGATTACACCACACTGACAACCAAAATTGGAAAGGGCTTCAGCTACATGAAAGCGGACGAGTGGAAATCATGGGTTCTGGTTTATTCTCCTGTCTTGTTGCATGGTATTCTCCCTCCATTACAATTCAAGAACTGGATGTATTTCGTTGATGCATGCCGATACTACGTAAAGCCCAGCATTACTTTTGATGAGATCACCACTGCCCACAGCCTGTTAGAAAAGTTTTGCAATGCATGTAACGTAGACTATACCGCCACTATTCTCACCTGCAATATGCACCTACACCTCCATCTTCATGAATGCATTCGTGATTTTGGACCAGTGTATGGTTATTGGCTCTTTGGGTTTGAGCGATACAATGGTATTTTAAAGAATTTCAAGACAAATGGCAAAGACGGTTTTGAGGCGACCTACATGAAAAATTTTGTTCAGAATGCGTATAAGGGTGATTATGTCAATGCTGTTCTTAAAAGTTCTAGCCAGATCCCCTTCATTCACACTCTGTCTAAACTTGTTACAACCTCCATACCTGCCGCCACAGTCACCACTCTCTCCAGTCGCCCATTCCGATTGCAAGCATTCGTTCAAGGCTACACTGATCCTTATAATCCACCCAAGGGTAACGAGCCTCTTCCTCCTTCTACATTTCCTCTAAAATACAAAAAGCCATCAGTAATGGATGATTCCGACTATCTCCATTTACTTGAATATTACCAAGTCGCTTACAACCTCCCAGACCTTGCCAGCTATCAGGACACGTCCTATAATCGCCCAGCACTTGACAATCAAATCATCAAATTGAAGTCAATTGACATTCTTGGTCAACACTATCGAGGAACAAACAACAGCACAATCAGTCGCGGATCACTTGTTCAGGCAAAGTTTGTTGGTAGTAATGGAAACATTATACTTGGATTTGCTGGACAAATTCAGTATCTTTTTACACACTCCTTCCAACTTCCACCCACGCACAATCTCCATCTGACTCGCATGGTTCATGATCATCAACATGTATTCGCATTTATCAAGTGGTTTCGTACTTCCTCTGATAGGTCGCGTGAGGATGACGGTGTTGAATTTTGTTTGCCCACGTTCTCTCCTGATAGCTACCATAGCATTATACCTGTACATCGCATCTTATTAGAGGTTGCTACAGCTACTATTGCGACAAGTAGAAATGTTAGCAAAATGCTGGTAATTCCATTGCCAAAGAAGCTATATGCTTAAATAATAAATAAAGTGAACTTTTACATTTCTTTTTCTTTAACAAAAAAAAACAGAGCGCGTATTTCTGATATATATATTGATAGTATTTTGTATGTGAAAAGTAATATATAGATAAAAAGAGAGAGGCAATTTTTGTTTATTTAATACCCGTCTCTAAGGGCCCACTGAGGAAATTTGGGGGTTATGTCATCTGGGACTGCTGTATTGGACACACTGGTGAAAACCCTCTCCTTCATTTGAGAAGCACTTGACCCCATTGCTTCAATAACATACTCATCAACGAGTTTAATGAGAGTATTGAACTAAAATGATTTTGTTAATACTTCACTTTATATTTTTTATAATAAGACATAATTATTAATATAAAATAATATACCTCGTCACTTCTCCATCCTGGCCGAACAATCTTGACGATGCTCTTCGTGCGATTCTCGAAGTCTTCATCTGCAGATTCTCCATCGGACATTGCTGCCATTTGCATCGTGAAGTCACAATCTCTCTTCATTTGTAGATCAATTGCTTCTTTGTTGTCTGTGTATGCAAGTAAACGGCGAGTATGATTCTAATAGTAGTTTTTTTGTATTAGTATTTTTAAAATTCTCAAGACTAAACTATATTATTTTGAAATTATTTATTTAGAGATTAAACTTACATCTCTGGCACGTCCTGCCCTTCTCGAACGAGTGTTTGTTGCTTTTATTTCCTCTTCGGTTTTTCTTGCTTTTGAAACCCGGCTGGTGAAGTTTTTGTGCAGTCTTGCTCTCAAGTCTGCCTCTCTAAATCCCTCATGGGTAAACTTGCGCTTCAAGTTTTCAAGAAGTCGCACCACCAACTCCTTGTTTGGCGACTTGTAAAAGAAAACATTTGTATTCCATCTGGGCTTACTCTCATTTGCCAGGATATCAGCTTGATTTCTTGTTTTCAGCTTGGGATCCCACATGAGATTACGAATATGGGCCTGATAGAATATATGAGAAAATACATCGATAAAATTTTGCACACGCTGATACTCACATAAACATCATTAGAGGCCTTCTTGCTAAACTCAGACGGGGCGTTGAAGGCAGGCTGAGAAACATTAGCCATTGTATTGGTAGGGGAAACGAGGGGGGCCCTGCTTAAACTGTCAATAGCAGTGATTGTCTCAGTGCTGCTGGTGGCAAGAACACCAATTCTGCTATTCATGTTTAGCAATGTATCTTCAACAGTGCCGATTTGTTCTTGTACAATCGACATGTCAGCTGCCATGTTGGTTCCCATGGCTGTCATATTAGTTTTCAAAGTAGAAAGAATTTCCATCAATTGTTCGTTTGTAATCTCAACGGGACGAAGAGCAAGTTGACGTCTTTGAATAGCCATTGTCTACAGAATATAATAAAAGGTAAAAATGTAACTGTTAATTTTAGATTACATTGTTATTGATGCTATTATACAATTGAATTGAATTGAATTAAAAATAAATTATATCAAATTTACATACTTAAATTATTTGAAATAAAATGGGTTGATGTGTGTGTGTTTGAGTATGAGTGCAATAAGTAGCAAGAAAGCAGGAGAAAGAGTAAACAAATTGTATAAAACGTATGGTTTATATAGATATTCAGCATATCTTTGATATATAAGTCTCTATTAATACTTCTTGTAATCACTGAGATGCAAATCGGCTTTCATACTGCTTTAGAACCCAATTGATCAAACCAGTCTAGTCTTTTGTTTCAAACGCACTTTTCTTTTTTCTTTTTTTTTCTTTTTTTGTTGTTGTTCCTGTTTCTCTTTTTTTTTGCTCTTTATATTTGCTATTGGTCTTTTCTTTGTTTCTCTATCTCTGCAACTTCTATTATATTTGCAAACTATTTGTGTAAGACATGTTCTTTCTAAAAAGTCTTCTTTATAGAAAATAAAAGAATTTATTTATTCTGTTGCCATAGACACACTCTTCGTCGCTGTCTACACCCATTTTTTTTTATTTTTTATTAGTCTTTTTTTTTAATCTGCTTTTTTAAAGTACTTTTTTTATATAACTAAAAAGAATTAGTTGTTTCAGTTGCCATAGACACTCGCCCTCTCTTTTCTTTTTACTTCTTTCTTTCTCTTTTACTCTTATACTTGCAAATGTTCCTGGTAAGGCGCTTTTTTTCTTTATTTTTCTTTATTAGTAATTTCTTCAAATATAGCTGAGTAATAACAAGTGTTTCTGCTACCATAGTCACTCGCGTATAGTTTCCTTCTGATGCATCCTCTTCACAATGGCCATCCGGATTAGCCAAGGTTAGTAAATATACTTCATACCATCATCTCATAAAAGTATCCTGATTTTTTCCTTTCTTTTTTATAGGACATATCACCCAAAATATTTTCTACAGCTAAACACGACCACCAACACGGTAATATTTTTATCTATTTATTTATTATATTTCTCTTTAATATTAATCAAACTGAATCCAATTTTTACTATAGATGAACAACCCTCTCTAAAACATGCTATGAATCAAAAGCTTCTATCTCATGCTGCTGTCATTGACATGGTAAGACTTTTTTTGTTCTTTTACTATCCTTATATGTATCATTATATTACTTATACTGTTTATTAATAAAAAAAACTACCAGATACTATATCGACTTTTGATAAGTATTATCTATATCTACAAATAAATCCGTTTGCTTTGGGTATGTAAATTAATAATTATATCGCCCAATTCACAAAAATTACTTTTTTCCAATCATTTTCATAGTCAAAGGAATCAAAATTCCGTAGCTTTACTTGTAATATTTTATTGTTTGGTCTTTGTACTGGATAATTCCAATATAAGTATTAATGGTTTATAAGAATTGAAATATCCAACACACACGCACACCCATCACTAACGATTTATCTATTCTCAAAAAGTACTGCTCGTACCCCAAAAAAAACGTATTGAGCAGCTCATTTTTTTTTAGGTATTTCTTTTTTGTAGAAAATTTTTCATCCCAAATATAACAAACCGACCGAGCAAGAAGTAGCTAGAGATATAGAATAGTATTATTAGATCTGAAACCTAGAAACATTCTATTCTTTCCAATAAAAATAAAAGCGTAAACCATTACTAGCCTAATAAGAACGGGAAACCAAATAAATAAAGAACATATTACTGGTCCATAATTTTAAAGACGCCTTTTTTTGCTGCTGATGACCAAACTTCTTAACAATAAACTAGCTTAAAGGTCACCTTTACGCTACTTTTAATCTTCATAATATGTCGGTGCCTGACCTTTATGGTTCCATATAAAGAATATCAAAATAGATACGCAGTTTTAAAAAACTTTCTTTTTATATATCAAGTCAGATAAGTATATCTAAAGTGCTAACAAACCTTACCTGCGGCACCCCCCACCCACAATTCCGCTAGTTGACTCTAGTCATTCCACTATCTGTGAAGGTCACCTTCAGCACAAGTGGAAAAAAAAATCAACTAATTTAAATATGGAAATTACACTACACTATACCCCATATTTAAACTACCTTATTTTTTTTAATTTTTCCAGTGTCTGCTATATATATAAGTAGATGACAGCTGATCTGCTATATATATAAGTGGATGACAGCCGGTCTGATATATATATAAGTGGATGACAGCTGATCTGCTATATATATATAAGCTGATTATAGCTGATCTGCTATATATATAAATGGATGACAGCTGATCTGCTATATATATAAGTGGATGACAGCTGATCTGCTATATATATAAATGGATGACGGCTGATCTGCTATATATATAAGTGGATGACAGCCGGTCTGATATATATATAAGTGGATGACAGCCGGTCTGATATATATATAAGTGGATGACAGCTGATCTGCTATATATATATAAGCTGATTATAGCTGATCTGCTATGTATATAAATGGATAACAGCTGATCTGCTATATATATAAGTGGATGAGAGCTGATCTACTATATATATAAGTGGATGACAGCCGGTCTGATATATATATAAGTGGATGACAGCTGATCTGCTATATATATATAAGCTGATTATAGCTGATCTGCTATATATATAAATGGATGACAGCTGATCTGCTATATATATAAGTGGATGACAGCTGATCTGCTATATATATAAATGGATGACGGCTGATCTGCTATATATATAAGTGGATGAGAGCTGATCTACTATATATATAAGTTGATGACAGCTGGTCTGATATATATATAAGTGGATGACAGCCGGTCTGATATATATATAAGTGGATGACAGCTGATCTGCTATATATATATAAGCTGATTATAGCTGATCTGCCATATATATATGTGGATGACAGCTGATCTGCTATATATATAAGTGGATGACAGCCGGTCTGCTATATATATAAGTGGATGACAGCCGGTCTGCTATATATATAAATAGATGACAGCTGGTCTGATATATATATAAGTAAATGACAGCTGATCTGCTATATATATAAGTGGATAATAGCTGATCTGCTATATATATATGTGGATGACAGCCGGTTTGATATATATATAAGTGGATGACAGCCAATCTGATATATATATAAGCTAATAATTATTAATCTGGTATATATATAAGCCAATAATCATCAATCTGGTATATATATAAGCCAATAATCATCGATCTGATATATATATAATCTAATTACAGTTAATCTCATATATATACAAGTAGATAACAATCAATTTTATATATGTATAAGTGGATAACAGTCAATCTGGTATATATATATAAGTTGTTAACTACCAATCAGGTATATATATAAGCTGTTGACCACCAATTGAGTATATATATAAGCTGATAACAGGTGATCCACACTATATATAAACATATGATACTCAATCTGATATATATATAAGCTGATGATAGCTGATCTGGTATATATATAAATTGTTGACCGCCAATCAGCTATATATATATAAACTATTAACAGTCTATCTCATACATATATAAGCTGATATTAGCTAATCTAGTATATATATAAGCTGTTGACTGCCAATTGGGTATATATATAAGTTGTTGACTACCAATTGGGTATATATATAAGCTAATAACAAATGATCTGCACTATATATAAACATATGATATCCAATCTGATATATATATAAGTAGATAACAGTCAATCTTATACATATATAAGCTGAACACTGCTGATCTAGTATATATATAAATAAATGATATCTGATCTGATATATATATAAATCAATAACAGTCAATTTATATTATATATATATATTTATCACATCCAATTTACTACTTATATAAGTTAATAAAATATAATATATAATCAATATTAGCCAATAACATTTGATTTATTACTAATATTAGCATATAACATCTTATCTATCTCTGATATTAGTCAATACCATTAGATCTATCACATTATATATATTAACACTTGTCAATATCCAAGTCATATCCAATCATCTCGTCAAATATAAGTTACATACTCTAATCATATTTAATCTTTAATTTTATATATATTCACAACTCTTTTATAATCTTTATATATATATATATAGTATATAAATACATTAAAATTATAATAAATATTAATAAGTTGACTTGTTCATATATTTTTTTATTGATTTATATAATAATATTTTGATTTTTATAAGAAAATTAGTAAAAAAATATGAAAATTAATTTTTATTAATTCTGTACTTGCTCTTTACATATTTTGATACTTTTATATTATACTACTAAATTTTCTTTATATACCAAAAAAAATTAAAAAATTATTACTTAGTAAGAATTTGAACTTTCATTAGAAGAGATATATTTAATTATTGTCGGAACGGCTTTTTGATAGATTAAAGTTAAATGTTTTTCCATGCCAAGCTTTTACATAGTTGTTATTTATATAACCTATCTTCCCACACTAAAAATGCCAAGACTTCTCACGCTAGGTGCATTCAGACTAACCAAAAAAGGAAATTTTTGCGAAAAAAGCAATTTTTTGTCATTTTTTCCCACAAATTCAATGGTATTGTTTACGTAGATCATTTATGCAAGATTATGCATGATTATGCACGTTATATAACAAGTATAGCCAAAAGTTACCAATTTTTTTCAGCAATGCAATTGTATTGTTTACATTACGCGAATATGCATAATGACGTATGTCACACAAACTTTATTTTTTATATTTTTATATATGTTTAAATTCTCTTATATGTGCCTATATATAATTATGCAATATTATGCAAGATTATGTAAGCTGATAATAACTAATTGATACTATATATAAACTAATTATAGCTGATCTCATATATATATAAGCTATTGATAGTTGATCTAGGATAAATATAAACTGTTGACCACTGATCTGGCATATATATAAGTTGTTGATTGCCGATCTAGTATATATATAAGCTGTTGACTACCGATCTGGCATATATATAAGCTGTTGATTGCCGATCTGGCATATATATAAGCTGTTGACTACCGATCTGGCATATATATAAGTTGTTGATCGCCGATCTGACATATATATAAGCTATTGATTGCCAATCTGGCATATATATAAGCTGTTGACTGTCAATCTGACATATATATAAGCTGTTAACTGCTAATCTAGCATATATATAAGTAGATGATAGCCGGTCTGATATATATATAAGTAGATGATAGCCAGTCTGATATATATATAAGTGGATGACAGCCGGTCTGCTATATATATATAAGCTGATTATAGCTGATCTGCTATATATATATAAGCTGATTATAGCTGATCTGCTATATATATAAATGGATGACAGCTGATCTGCTATATATATAAGTAGATGACAGCTGATCTGCTATATATATAAGTGGATGACAGCTGATCTGCTATATATATATAAGCTGATTATAGCTGATCTGCTATATATATAAATGGATGACAGCTGATCTGCTATATATATAAGTGGATGACAGCTGATCTGCTATATATATAAATGGATGACGGCTGATCTGCTATATATATAAGTGGATGACAGCCGGTCTGATATATATATAAGTGGATGACAGCCGGTCTGATATATATATAAGTGGATGACAGCTGATCTGCTATATATATATAAGCTGATTATAGCTGATCTGCTATGTATATAAATGGATAACAGCTGATCTGCTATATATATAAGTGGATGAGAGCTGATCTACTATATATATAAGTGGATGACAGCCGGTCTGATATATATATAAGTGGATGACAGCTGATCTGCTATATATATATAAGCTGATTATAGCTGATCTGCTATATATATAAATGGATGACAGCTGATCTGCTATATATATAAGTGGATGACAGCTGATCTGCTATATATATAAATGGATGACGGCTGATCTGCTATATATATAAGTGGATGAGAGCTGATCTACTATATATATAAGTTGATGACAGCTGGTCTGATATATATATAAGTGGATGACAGCCGGTCTGATATATATATAAGTGGATGACAGCTGATCTGCTATATATATATAAGCTGATTATAGCTGATCTGCCATATATATATGTGGATGACAGCTGATCTGCTATATATATATGTGGATGACAGCTGATCTGCTATATATATAAGTGGATGACAGCCGGTCTGCTATATATATAAGTGGATGACAGCCGGTCTGCTATATATATAAGTAGATGACAGCTGGTCTGATATATATATAAGTAAATGACAGCTGATCTGCTATATATATAAGTGGATAATAGCTGATCTGCTATATATATATAAGCTGATTATAGCTGATCTGCCATATATATATGTGGATGACAGCTGATCTGCTATATATATATGTGGATGACAGCTGATCTGCT